TGTGTGTTTGTGTGTGTATGTATGTGTGTGGGTGTGTGTGTGTGTGTGTGTGTGTGAGTGTCTTTATGTATGTGTGTGAGTGTCTGTATGTATGTGTGTGTGTATGTATGTGTGTCTGTGTGTGTATGTGTGTGTATGTGTGTATGTGTGTGTGTGGTTTCTCTCTTTCTAATCTGAGTGACTCACTGTTTCTCTACGTCCTCCACCATGCGGTCGATGCCGTCCTTCGTGGGGACGTGGGTCCCGTGGATCAGGCTGTTGGACGTGGGATAGAAGTCCTCCCCACTGTGAACAGAAGTAAAACAATTAGAGAAGCACAACCACAGAAAACCGCTGAATCCCTCCTGACCTCAGAACGCCGTCGGGGCTTTAATCTCTACATCGAGCTGCTGAAGGTATGGAAACCTTCAGCTCCCAGCATGTGACGGGTCCCAGTTACAGGGCTGTTCTTAACTAAGATTTTATCCCAAACCGGAGAAAATTAAGTGTTTCACTAGACCAGTGTTTTTCAACCCCCGTGCCTCGGTACTCTAGTGAGTGATGGTCAGGTGTGCCGTAGAAAATTATTCTATTTCACCTAATTGGTCTAAAAAGATTTTCTGATAAGGAATTAATTATCTGCAAATAATATGCCATTTTTGAGTGTGTGTGCTGTTCTAGTGACTGGTGGAGTAATCATGGAATAATTCCTTATGACTAGATTTTATATATAATTTTGTATATTGAAGTGGACATGTTAAGTGCAATTTGAAATAAGAAATATAAAATATGATAAAAATAAATTTTTGTGTTTATTTGATTCCTATTCAAGACACTTAAGATAAGATAAGAATAAAATAAGAATAACTATAGTGTTACTATAGGCGGCTACAGATTTGTTTGACATTTTTGGTTGGTGGTGTGCCTCGTGATTTTTCCAATGAAAAAATGTACCTTGGCTCAAAAAAGGTTGAAAAACACTGCTCTAGAGGTTCAACTAGGAAATTTAACTACATTTGGGACCCTTTTAGCCTCAGTTTACCCAGAAGTCCACACGGCCCTGAAATATGTTTAGTTTGGATCTTATTGAACCATAAACATGTATCAGAGTGCAGAACAATGTCTGTTTTTCTTTGGTTGTCTGATTGTTTTTGTTTTGTTTTAGACATGGCTGTGTTTTGATTTGATTGTTAAACAAAATTAAGAAAATACTATCAAAACATTGTATTTAAAAGCATCTACATGCACTGTACCACCTTTGTTGAATAAAATACATGGTTTAAAACAATTTTAAAAAGGGGGTTCTTGTTTCTTTTAGGTGACATTTTAGGTTTACCCCTCTTCATGGAGGAGGGGGGGCAGATTGGAGATGTTTCTCCTGATTTAAATCGAGTAAATCTCCTCATGGATCCAGTCTGAGGTCTTAGACTTAGACTTAGACTTAGACAGTACTTTATTCCCTTGGGAAGACTCCCTCAGGAAATTAAGGTTACCAGCAGCTTAAAGGGCAAAAAGTATCAAGTTAGAATTAAATTAAGCAAAAAAGTACAAATGAATAAATAAAAATACAAAAAAATACAGATTAAGTACAGTGTATACAAAACATCTGACCCAGGTCTGGATATGGGACCTGGGGGGGGTTTACCTCTCCTCTCTGAGCTTGGCGTAGCTCTCCAGGTCTGGTCGGATCTGTTTGGTGAGCCTCTGGTACTGTCTCAGCTGGGCCTCCGCATAACCTGCAGAACGTCCAGAGAACCCAGTTATGATTATATATATTATTATGATTGGATATATATATTTGATATATTTTAGTCACTCAAATCTCTGCGCTGTTGCTTCCTTGTATATTTGTTTGTTTTTGCTGTACTTTATGCACCTTTTCCTCCTTTTGAACCGATATGTGACCAGTGAATTTCTCCACTGTGAGATCAATAAAGCTCTTATCTTATCTTACGATTAAATATCTGGAGAAAATACCGACTCAGACTCCAGATCCATTAAAAAGAAAGAGGTCAGGTCCCTGTTTTCCAGCACACCGATTAAAATAATCCATCACTGATGCTAATTAATTAAGTTAATAGACTATTTTCTATTCAGGTTGTCGGTGTGTTTTACCTTTTTAATACAGTTTCTGATATTATTTGCACTTTTTACTCTTCACTGATGCCATTTCTGTTTGTTACAGTGGGGGAAATAAGTATTTGACCCCTTGCTGATTTTGCAGGTTTGCCCACTTACAAAGAATGATTATTTTTCCTCATCAGATGGTTATCAATTTTTATAAAATCATATGATGTGATTTTCTGGAATTTTCTC